AAATTAATTTCACATATTTCTATTTACTTTGTTGTTCTTTATTTAAAAAATTTTTTATGGACCTTTATTTTATTTATTTATATATGGTGCTGAGAATTGGACCCAGTGCCCCACATGTGCAAGGCAAGTGTTTCACCACTGAGCCATAACCCCAGCTCTTTTTCTTTATTTTTAAAAATTCTTTTTATTACTATTTTAAAAATTTTGAGACAGTATCTTGCTAAGTCACTGAGGGTCTTGTTAAATTACCGAGGCTGGCCTTGAACTTGAGATCTTCTTGCCTCAGCCTTCCAAGTCACTGGGATGACAGGTGTGTGCCACCACACCTGACTTTACTTTTTTAATGTGGCTATTAGAAAATGTAAAATTATGTGGCTAACATTATATTTCTTTTGGGAAATACCACTCTAAAAAATGAAAAATCATGAAAAAGAATCCATTTGTCTTATGAAAATAGGCAATGATGATGGTAAAGCACCTAATACAAATACCCCAGAATGTGTTGAGGATTTCATGAAAAACATAGAAGTTATTTATTATATGTAATGGATCAGTCGTTTTCTTTATATTGCATGATACCTTGCCATGCATTTGCTTTCCTAATCTTTTTGAATTTAATTTATTTCCCAGAGTGTAAAAGATAAAAGGTATTACATTTACTGCCTTTTATCTAACATATTTTTAATTTGGAAGCACACATTTCCTAGAGGAATGTTTTTACAACATTACCAACTCACTGTTTCTTTTCTTTTCTATCATGTTTCCTTCAGTTTTACTTATCTATCTATCTATCTATCTTTGGTGTTGGAGATTGAGCCCAGGGCCTCATGCATGCTAAGTATGAGCTCTACCACTGAGCTATACCCCCAGCCCTTATGCTTCTTTTCAACAGTAAACATTGACTCTTGTGTGTTAATTGGATAAAGTCACAATTTTCTCATCCGCAAAATGAGGATAATAAAATCTAGCATGCACGTGTGCCATGTTAGATGAGGTAAGTGAATATGCTATGTTAGACATTGTAGGAGAGAGAAGAATGACTAAGATTCCCCTCTCTCAGCAGAGTTAGAGTGACAAATACGTGTGTTAAACTGAGTGGACTTCAGACAAGGTGACTCAGTCACTCAAAGGAAGCGATAGATTTTATATTACATGAGCAAAATGGAAAGAGTGATTATTAGGTTTAGACTCCACCTGGGCAGTCACATAGGGGTGGAGTGGGTTGTTCAGGCAGGCATTTTAGATTTTGAATACAGTAACTATATGAGAGTTTAGGAAAATTCATGGTATGTATTTTAGGTTCCTTTTGGTTTAAATATTTATGGATTTTATTATATTACATTTGGCTCTTTATTGCCTTACTGTACCTCAGTGGACCATCTACCAGCCTGGGAATTCCTCCTGTATAGGGATTATGATATTCATCTGTGTCCAGCACAGAACTTGGCAAAAACCAGGTATTAAATGGGTATTTAATGAGTAGATGAATGACTAAAAACTGTGAAGCCTTTAAAAGATGGTGTAGCGCTATATTTTTTAGTTCAAAATATAGTATCTATGACGATATTTTGAATTACTTTTCTTCTTTCTTTCTTTTTTCTTTTTTTTTTGTACTGGGGAATAAATCCAAGGGTGCTTTACCACTGAGTTACATCCTTGGATCCTTTAGTTTTTTATTTTGAGACGGGGACTTGCAAAATTGCTGAGGCTGGCCTTGAACTTGTTATCCTCCTGCTTTAGACTCCCAAATTGCTGGGACCATTGTGCACCACTGTGCCTGGCAAATCCAGGTTTTTTTTTTTTTTGGTGCTAGAGATTGAACCCAGGCCTCATGCATGCAAGGCAGGTGTTCTGCTGCTGAGGTGTATTCCCAGCCCTGTGTTTGAATTTCTAGACCTTTGTCACATACTTAGAGATATCTTTGCTGAAAGATGTGCATATATATAGAGTGAGTGGTAGATTCTTATTCTCACGTGATGAACTGCTGCTCAGAAGTCTTGGAGCTTTAATTACCTGCTGCTAAAGGAGGGCTTTTACTTCACCTCCTAGTGGCCATCACGTTTCTGTGAGTTTTCAATACAACTTCCCTTTGATCTCTGTTCAGTGAAGGATATAGCTGGCTCCACTCCTTTTATTAAAAAAAAAAAAAAAAAAAAGAAGAAGAAGAAGAAGAAGCCTGCCTGCCAACTTCTGGCTGCTTGGAAAGGAGTGTTATTCTGCAGGGGAGGAAGCATAATGGCAAAGGGTTCTATCTACAGGAAATCCAATGTTTGCTCTGCAGAGAGACATGTGATAAATTGAAAGAAAGGAAGTGGCTTAGTAACTAGAAGGTCAGTTTGTGTGAGATTTCCTTTTTTGGGTTTCCTCCTATCCTGTTTATATCATTATGTTTTAATCTTTTATTTCCTATTTAACTGTGAAGTTGCTTTCATGTTAGGGGTGTTTGAGATATGCTTTGAATATGATTGACAGATTCACTGAAAAAAAGCACAAGGAGAGAACTGTTTGTTATTTCTTCTCACTTCCCACGATTTTGAGAAAGGAGTTCAGAAAAGCTGTGAATAATCGCTTTCCCCTCCAACCACTTAAATTGGTTTTTGTCAATGGACTGGTTATGTCATTGATTTTACAATTACAAAAAGAAGCCATTCTTGGCCTACCTAACTTTTTACCCGCTGGGAATATTACAGTTTTTACAATAGAGGATATTTGTAAAAACTTATTGGGCACAAGGCTGAATGTATTTTACCCATTCTAGGAACACAGAGAGTTAAATGAAAGGCTCCGGAAAGACCAGGGTGTAAAGAGGAAAGGGTGGGGCATTAGTTTTTCCCTTAGGCATTCACTGTTGTATGTGCAGGGGTCTTTTCCTTGCCTAATTCCTTTGTTGACCTTGTAAACTTTTAATTGTGTAGCAGAGAAAGCTTTGTTTTATGAAGCTCTTCTAAATTAGGCACAATTATTACTATTATTTTTGGGGTATGGGGGATTGAACCCAGCACACTTTTACTACTGAGCTATATCCCTATCCTTTTTATTTATTTATTTCTATTTTGAGAAAGGATCTTGCTAAATTGCCAAGGATGGACTCAAACTTGGGATCCTCCTCTTGCCTCAGCTGCCTAAATTGCTGGAATGCCAGGCATATGCCACCACGCCTGGCTAAATCAGACACATTTGACATGGCCTAAAAAGCCATTTGATAAATAGTAATTGCCCCCTGATTTTGAGCTTCATGAGGATTATGGAGGTGTTAAGGCTTAGGGTTCTGGTGAGAACTAGGAATGGTGTAAAACTCAGGGATACAGGGGGGGTTGAGAGTTGAGGGCTGGAGAGAGGCTTTGGGATGAAGGTGCTGATCTGGGTGTGGTCTTATAACAGTGGGCCACTTTATTATCTGAATATAGTCCTTGTTGCTCTGCCACTTCTTATTTTTAAGATGTGTTTCTTTCTCTTCCTCTCACCCTCCCTGTTCCTAATCACCCCCTCATCCTAATCTCAGGGGAAACAGAATTATCATTTCTCTCCATCAAGGGAAGGGTTATCTGTCCTTGAGCACACACCCGTCACAGGAACAAAGTAATTCACGCTTGAGGATGGCACCAGAAGATATAAGAAATGACTGTCTTTAAATGAACAAGTGAATTACAACTCTAGACAGAAAATGTAGCCTTTGAATCATCTTTTAAAAACAAGTCTGTTCCCGCTGATGGGGAGAATCACAGCCTCTGGGACAGGAGTCCCCTGCTTTTCTCCTTTGCTACCAAAGCAATACAACTTCTTTTTTCTTTTTCAAAACCTTGTCTTCATTATTGGATTGGCATGGGGATGAGGACTCAGCTTTTGCTAACAGTGACACATTAAACCAGTGACAAATTCTCAGCCTTTCCTCTCTTCCATAATTTTGTATTTGGACTCCCAAATTACCCAGATTATGGTTAACATAATTAAGAGTGGCACTGCATATTTTAGTAAAATAAGTCATATTTCTGAAGGAAAATGAAGTCCTATAGAGATTTGCCAAACATAAGGAGTCTCTTTAAAGTGTTCATGCAGTGTTCTGTTAAGCTACTTTTTTGGTTACCTTTTTACTATCCTGTGAATTTGGATAAATTTCTTTAACTCCTCCAAACCTCAGTCCTCCTTTTTAAAGTTAAGGGATTGGATTTTTCAGTCTTTAAGTTTTAATTTAGCCCTAAAACATTTCTACTTTTCACACCTCATTCACTAATGGTTTTTTTTTTTTTTTTTTTTTTTGGTACTGGGGGTTGAACCCAGTGACATGTTGCCACTCAGTTTCATCTCCAGCTTTTTTTATTTTTTTATTTTGAAACAGAGTGTTACTAAGTTGCTTATGGCCTCACTGAGTTTCTGAGACTGGTTTTGAACTTGGAATCCTCCTGACTCAGCCTCCCGAGTTGCTGGGATTACAGGTGGTACACCACTATGTCCAGCCATGAAAAAATTTTTTTAAGCATTGTAATGCAAGATAAATAAAAAATTTCTTTTTAAAAAATATATTTACCAGTTTTCACATGTGGGTTTGCCTGTATTTTCATTGCCATGTGTGTATCATGCAGAATATGCGTTATGCAGATCTTTGGGAATATAGTCTTTTCAACCTTGTAAATAGCAGATCTTATAGTTGAAAACACTTTGAAGGTGAAGAATCTCACCTCGAATCCTTGGCTTTGACAAGTACTGACTTTGTGACTTTAGACAACCTAGCTTTCTAAGCCTCAATTTCCTGTTTGTGATATGGAAATAACATGGTACTTTATAAAGCTACTGTCAGGCCTATGGGAAACAGTACATGTTACCTAATGTCTCTATATGAAAATGAGTTTCAGATTTTGTCCAGCCAGCATACAAACATGTTTTATGTGTAGATTTAGACATCATAAATTTAGGACTATTTCACTCAATGTTTATCAAATAAGTTAATGACCAGAATATTTTTCTAATAGAAACTAACTTAATATATTTCTTTCTCTTTGTAGATCTTATATTGTACTTTAAACACACCTAAAATTGACATGGAAAAACTCCTAGGAGGGCAATTAGGTCTTGAAGATTTTATATTTGCCCATGTGAAAGGACTAAAAAAAGAAGTGAATGTGTATAAATCTGAGGATTCACTTGGACTCACCATTACAGATAATGGTGTTGGCTATGCTTTTATCAAGGTAAGTTAAAAAGCAAACCAAAACAGTGTGACCTAATTGAAGTTAACATTTAAGAAAAATCTACCAGGTCAATGACAGTTAGAAATGATCTTCAGAGTGAGAGGCAGCTCAGCAGGCATGCATCAATTGGTAATGTTAGTTTTACTTTCATTTAAAAAAAATGTTCAAAGACATAATTTTTTGTTTACCCTTCCTTTGAATTTCTTCCCTTTGGTTTAAACTTCCTCTAGAATATAGAACTTACTGAAAAAGAAAGACTGTTCCTGGTGCCTATTCATTATCCATGTAAGTTTTTCCAGGTTTGCAGCTCTAAAATCAGATGACATCCATGCTGACATCCAGTGATGAGGGTTACTTTTAACTGCACAGATTTTCAGCTATCTTATTTACTTCTTTAAAATTGCTCTTCAAAATTACACAAACGGTATAATTTCTCTGTTTAAATACAAAGAAAGTAATATAGAGAGACAAAGGCAAGAGAAAGAAGTTTGAAATGGCACAAAATTTTTACGAACTCAGGAGTAGTAAAAAGGTAGATGCCTCTTTAAAATAGTTCTGTTGTAATGAGGACAGTTGTCACCTGACATCTGTGGGGAGATTGGGGATGCTGAATCTTCAGATGCTTACATCTTGCATACGTTATTTGCATATAACTTATGGACATTCTCCTACATACTTTCAATCATCTGTAGATTACTTATAATTCTTATAAAATTTAAATGTTATGTAAATAGTTGTTGTATTGTTTGGGGAATAATGACAAGTAAAAAAAATCTGTACTTGGTCAATACAGAAGCATTTTTTTTTTCTTTTGAAATGGTTTCCTGCTATGTTGCCCAGTCTAGCTATGAAATTCTGGGATCAGATGATCCTCCTAGCTTGGAGTTACCATTAATTGTAATAATAACAGCTGACTTATATCAAATGCTTACCATGTAATAGGCACTTGGCATACATTTTTTAATTTAGATATCACAATAATTCTATTTGTTGATATTATATTTTTTCTTTTTTATTTATTTTTATGTTGAGGTGTAAGAACTTTTTTCTTTCTTTTTGTTTTTGTTTTTTTGGTACCAGTAGTTATAGTACCAGTAGTTACATATAAGTGTAGTACAGGATTGAACCCAGGGGCACTTAACCACTGAGTCACATCCCCAGCCCTTTATATTTTTTATTTTGAGACAGGATCTCGATAAATTGCTTAGGGCCTTGCTAAATTTCTGAGGCTGGCCTTGAACTTGCAATCCTTCTGCCTCAGCCTCCTGAGTTGGGATTACAGGCATGTGCCACAGCACCTGGCTGAGATGTAACAAATTTTTAATGTACAGCTTTAATGAATGTTTACATCATAACACTTGTGTACCTATCACACAGATCAATGGAAATTGTATTTCTACTGCTCTGAAGCCTTTCTGTGCTCCTTCTCAGTAAATACTCTCCTCTCCACCCCTTTGGGGAGAGTTGTAGCCCTCTTTTGACTTCTGTCACTATTTGCTTCTTGAAGTTTATACACTCTATTTTTTCTGACTTCTTTTGTTCAACATGATGTCTGTGAGATTTGTCCACAGGAAGGTAATATTAGCAACTCTTATCTTGAAGATGTAAAAATAGGATCAGGAAGGTTAAAGTAACTTGCCCAAAGTTGTACAGCTGGAAAAATTCAGGATATGAATCCCAAGAAGCCTCACAGTGGGCCTGGAATTTCTGTGCACTGAGCTAAGAATTAGTGGTAGGCTGCATGCAGCACAGCATGTTGCATGTCTTTATTTTGTCCAAATCTTGATTTGCTGATGCATTGTCATCATTAAAGAAATAGTCTTAGGAAAGTTATCTTCCTAACTAAATGATGCTTCAACTACCCACTTGATAGAATGGCTATTTTTAGCTCTGCAAAAGATATGACTGTGCTGAAGGTTGAGTGGGTGACCAAATGGAAAATCTGTGAGTTGGGAAAGTCATGTGGGATTATCCAAGGGAAGCTCAGGACATGAGGCATATGCAGCAGTGACTTTCTAATGTCAGCAGAGAAGGGCTTGGAAGTTTTGCAAATATGTGTGGATTTTTTAAATGTTAGCCTCTGACGTTTGTAGCTCGCATTTCTTTCTTTCTTTTTTTTTTAATGCCTTGTCTAACATGTGCCTGCCTTAGAGTACTAGTCATTAACCCTGTGGAGACCAAGAACCTGGTAGCAAAGGAGAAAGTGGAACACAATCCAAACAGCAAACATGGAGTTCACTTTAAAAGAGAGATTCATATCATATTGTATACTTAGTTTATAAAAATTTTAAAAATGGGATCATTTCAAACATACAAAAACAGCATAAACATATAAAGAACTCTTGTATATCATTTACCTAAATATCCAGTTTCTACATTTGCTTTATTTTCTCTTATATACATTTGTGTGTGTGTTAGTATGTATATGTGTGTGTATATATGTACACATATATATGTAGTACTTGGGATATATAACATTTATATAATACTTTAAAACTAAGCTGTAGTTTACATTTCAGCTTCAACAGTTTTCCTAATAGTGTCCATTTTCCCTAGTACAGGTTTAATCCAGGGTCATGATTTTCGTTTGTTATGTCTTTTTAGTCTTTTAAAAATTATTATAATCATTAACACAGTAATTGTACAAATTAATGGGCATTACTGTGACATTCCATACATGTATATGTTAAACTCTGATAATGTCCTCCCCGCTTCTCCTACCCTACCCCAACTCCCTTTCTGGACTTTCATAGTCCTACTTTCAGGTCATCTATTTTTCATTTCTACATATGAGAGATAATATGATATTTGTCTTTTTTTGTGTGTATAGCTTATTTCATTTAGTCATGATGTTCCACCCATTTTCCTGAAAACGGCAGGATTTTATTTTTCTTTATGACTGAATATTACTCCATTGTGTCTGTGTATTTTTTTTAATCTATTCATCTATTGATGGGCATCTAGGCTAATTCCATCTCTTACTATTTTGAATTGTGCCACAATAGACATGGTGTGAAGTTATTTCTTTTGTATGCTGACTTCATTTCCTTGGGTTATATATCCAGGAGTGGGATAGCTAGATGATATGGTAGTTCTATTTTTACTTCCTTGAGGATCCTCCATACTGTTTTCCATAGTGACTGTACAAATTTACATTCCTACAAACAGTATATAAGGGTGCCTTTTTTCCTACAACCTCACCAACATTTTTTTTCCCATACTGGAAATTGACCCCAGGAGTGCTCTACCACTGAACTACATTACCAGGCCTATTTATTTTTATTTTGAAGCAGAGTTTCTCTTAAGTTGCCAGGATTAGACTGTAACCTGTGATCCTTCTGCTTCAGCCTCCTGAGTAGTTGGTGTGTAACCCTGCACCTGGCTTACTTTTTTGATAGTGGCTGTTCTAACTGGGATGAGATGAAATCTCAATGTTGTTTTGATTTGCGTTTCCCTGATGGCTAAAGATATTGATCATTCTCATATATTTATTGGACATTTGTACTTACATTTGTGAAGTGTGTTTTCAGATCATTTGCCCATTTATTGGTTGGATTATTATTTTTTTCTTATTGTTGTTGTTAAGTTTTTTTGATTTTTTTTTTTTTGGTGTGTACCAGGGATTGAACCTAGGGATGCTTGACAACTGAGCCACATCCCAGTCCCCACTCCTCTTTTTGAGATAGAGTCTCACTAGGTTGCATAGGGCCTTGCTAAGTTTCTGAGACTGGTCTTGAATTGCCATCCTTCTGCCTCAACATCCTGAGTTGCTGGAATAACAGGCATGTGCCGCTGTGTTTGACTTGAGTTATAGTAACCTTATGTCAGCTGAATAGCTGCCAAAGTTTTTCTCCTATCCTGTAGTTTGTCTCTTTATTTTCCTTTGCTGTTTGGAAACTTTTAAATTTGCTTTAATCCCATTTGTCAAATTTTGCCTGTTTCTTGGTCTGTTGGGTTCCTAACCAGGAAATCATTATCTGTGCCAATATTTTGAAGGGTTTCTCCTGTGTTTTGTTCTAGTAGTTTCAAAACATCATATCTTATAGTAAGGGCTTTGATCCATTTTGGGCAAGGTGAGAGATAGGGATCTAGGGATCTATATGGACTAGTTTGAGGAATATTAGTGTTTATTCTTTTTTAAAAGTCTGATAAAATTTAGCAGTGAATTCATCTTGTTCTGGACTTTCCTTTGTTGGGATACTTTTTATTACTGCTTCATATCATTATTTGTTATTGCTCTATTTTTTTAAATATCCTCTTGGTTCAATTTTGGAAGGGCCTACATTTCCAGAAATTTGTCCATTTCTTCTAGATTTTCCAATTTGTTAACATAACTTTTCAAAATATCATATATATATATATATATATATATATATATATATATATATATATACACATGTATATATATGATTTTGTGTGTGTGGTGGTACTGGGGATTGGAACCAGGTGTGCTCTACTACAGAGCTCTACATTTCAATCCATTTTATTTTTTATTTTGAGACAGGATCTCACTAAGTTGTCAAGGCTGGGCTCAAATTTGTGATCCTCCTGCCTCGGTCTCCTGAGTACCTGAGGTTATAGGTATGTGCCACTGCTCCTGGCTTTCTTCAGTGACTCATTATTTAATACTATGTTCAATTTTCATGTGCTTTTATTTCTGCCTCTCCTTTTTTGGGAGGGGGTATCAGGGATTGAATTCAGGGGCACTTGGCCACTGAGCCACATCCCCAATCCTATTTTATTTTTATTTTTTTTAAGTTTCTTTTTTTTTAATTGGCTGTTCAAAACATTACAAAGCTCTTGACATATCATATTTCATACATTTGATTCAAGTGGGTTATGAACCCCAATCCTATTTTGAATTTTATTTAGACACTGGGTGCTCGGCTATAATTTCTGCAGCTTCTCTTGCTGCTGATTTTGTTTCCTTCCACTGTGATCAGATAAGATGTAAGAAATTATTACATTTTTTTGAATTTGTTAAGACTTGCTTTATAGAA